CTACTAGGGGCTCCTGGCCTTACTACTAGGAACAAGAAGCTACTAGGAGCAAAGGGCATCACTACTAGGAACAAAAAGCTACTAGGGGCTCCTAGGGGCTCCTGCCCGTACAACTAGGAGCAAGGATGCTACTAGGAAAAGAATGTGTTCAAAGAAAAGCATCCTCGTCCCACTTCACGCAACCGCTCCTGGATAGGGGCTCAACAGGCCCGGAAGAGGAGGGGTTGAAACATGGCTTTCGGAATTTGGTGACAGTGAAAACACGCGAAACCAGAACACATTGAGGATCGGATATACTCTGTAAGTTGAGTTGGATTCTGGACTGGGAATTCAAAACTGATCTGCAGATCGAACGGAGTTTGTAGTTTGCACTATACACAACAAATCAGAAATACACCTCACCTGCGAACGAAAGATTGCATCAAGCGCTGGAGATATCCGAAGTTCCTGGAAACCATCTGATAATGAAACTCGTGTCATGAGCAGTTTCAGCTCATACTCTTAATATGGAAAAAGTGAGGTTTCCCTAACCATCTAGGAATCAAATCATTGGTGCGAGCGCTTCTTCAAGGAAGTTCCTCCCCACCCTCAGGCAGGGGAGATCCTGCGTCCAGCTGTTAGCATCTCAGGAGCGAACTTCTTGCTTACTTAAGGAGGCGCCTCCTTAACAAAATGAGGCAGGGCCACGGGCAAAGAAAAAACATTACACCAGCATAGACCCAGATAGCTGGGCAGAATCCCACGAGCTGTTGATATGCGACTGGCTGGAACAAGAATGTACGCAGCCTGCACAGCCAGCTTACGGCGCCTCCACAGCGCGCACAATCAGCTGACACCAGCACCGGCGCGCTTTGCCAGCTGACAACACCGGCAGCGGCGCCAGCACCCGACCAGCGCCGCCGCCCGACTTAAACGCGCCCTGAGCCAGCTCACAGCACCAGCACCCAGGACCACAACACCAGCGCCAGCGCCGACACCCTTTAGAAAGCGCGCGCAGCCAGCTCACTCTTATTTGCAGCCAGAACCCCATAGCTATCCCTATTTGGTGAATAACAACGTATGATCTTGCGCGTGTAAGTGTATGCGCACAAAAGTATGCGCGCAAACAGCAAAGCCCGTAGGTGTCATTGGCCCAAGGCCAAGCAGTATCCAGCGCCACTATTGACTTTGTAACATGCTTGAAGCAACGATAAGCAGAACGATATGATCTTGCGCGTATAAGTTTATGCGCACAAAAGTATGCGCACAAACAAGCGACAACACCGTATGATGTTGCGTGCATAAGTTCAAGCTGCTGGCACTTCATTGTCAGAAGCGGCGCTTGGTCGCCCTTCACTGCTGCAAGCGGCGGTTTGCTACCCTTCACTGTCAGAAGCAGCGGCTGTTATCACTTCACTGCCAGAAGCGGGCACCAGCACCACGCACCGGCGCGCCAGCTCACGGCGCCCAGCACCAGCACCCGCACCTGCACCCTGTCTCCACCACGTGCACACCCGGCACCGGCACCCAGCACCGGCACCCTGTCTCGAAAGCGCGCGCAGCCACTTCATTGTTGAAATAAGAACCCCATAGCTGTCGCTATCTGGGGAACAAAACAATCCTCTCCACCAGGCGCACAGCCAGCGCCCAGCAGGAACTGCTGCGTGTCCACCATGCGCACAGCCAGCGCCCAGCACCACCACCGGCAACCTGCATCCCACGCGCACAGCCAGCTCACAGCACCAGCACCGGTGCCGGAACCCGGCACCCAGCACCGGCCATCACAGCACCAGCGCCGGCACCCTGTCTCCACCAGCTCACAGCACCAGCACCGGCACCTGGCACCCAGGCACCCTCTCTCTCCACCACGAGCACAGCCACCTCACAGCACCGGCACCCAGCACCCAGCACCAGCACCGGCACCCGGCACCAGCAACCTGTCTCCACCACGTGCGCAGCCAGCTCACAGCACCAGCATCAGCACCGGCACCCAGCACCAGCAACCTGTCTCGAAAGCGCGCAACTCACTGTTATTTGAAGTAAGAACCCCATAGCTTCGCTATCTGGGGAACAAAACCCTCTCTTACCTGTGGTTCGCTGTGACCTAAATAGAGTGAGAAAGCTGAGCACATCGTTGCAACGTCAAAACTCACCTGTTTGAGGCAACTTGCCGGATGTACCAATTGAATGTAAGGGCCGGTGGACGACATGCGAATGGTGAAGTCAATCCGGGTCGAAGAACTGGATGAGGGGATGGGCAGGTGAGTCGGATCGAAGCCTTCGGTTCGGACTGTTCGAACAAAACCGAGTATGTGCGAGTATGTGCTGGTAGGAGCAAGGACGCTACTAGGGGCTCCCCGTACTAGTAACAAGAAGCTATTAGCTTCTTGTTTCTACTAGCTTCTTGTTACTACTAGCAATGCACTTGTTACTACTAGTAACAAGAGGACGCTACTCGTCCAAAACGTTCATCCGTCCTGACGTCCCGTTCCAAAACTCGTCGTCTCCATCTCTCGTCTCCTTCTCTCCAGAGTTCGAACACCTCGCTCTGCCAGGAGCCGCAAGACGTCTCGAATGGCCTCACGCTATTAGAAACAAGTGCATCGCTACTAGGAACAAGTGCCTTACTAGTAGTAACAATATGCTACTAGGAACAAGTGCCACGCTAGTA